ACAGCAGTGGAGGACAGGAGACAGGTAGAGGATAGAAGAGACACAATAGACAGCAGTGGAGGACAGGAGACAGGTAGAGGATAGAAGAGACACAATAGACAGCAGTGGAGGACAGGAGACAGGTAGGGGATAGAAGAGACACAAAAGACAGCAGACAGAGGACAGGAACAAGGTAGGGGATAGAAGAGTCAAAAGACAGCAGTGGAGGACAGGAGACAGGTAGGGGATAGAAGAGACACAATAGACAGCAGTGGAGGACAGGAGACAGGTAGGGGATAGAAGAGACACAATAGACAGCAGTGGAGGACAGGAGACAGGTAGAGGATAGAAGAGACACAATAGACAGCAGACAGAGGACAGGAGACAGGTAGGGGATAGAAGAGACAAAAGACAGCAGACAGAGGAGGACAGGAGACAGGTAGGGGATAGAAGAGACACAATAGACAGCAGACAGAGGACAGGAGACAGGTAGGGGATAGAAGAGACACAATAGACAGCAGACAGAGGATAGGAGACAGGTAGAGGATAGAAGAGACACAGCCAACACCAGACCGACTTTGGAGACCAATGTCTGACTGCTGTTCGCAGCTCGGAGCCTCGAAGCAACTTGGAGGAGCAACCGACAGACTTCTGGGACCCCCTCCCTCCCCCCTCCCTTCCCTTCCCCCTCCCTCCCTCCCACCTACCTCCCTCCCCCTCCCTACTTCCCTAACCCCCTCCCCCTCCCTCCCCCGGACCCTTTCGGGAGGACGAGTTGCAGGCGAGGGTACGTGGGTAGGGCTGTGTACCTGTACAGGTACAGGTCCGGACCTCAACACCTGGTGTACCTCAACAAAGTAAAACTACCGGACACTCACATTTCACAAATGGTACACCACAGATCAAGTCTGAAAATGACAAGTTTGGAAAATCAGCAATGAAAATGAATAAATAAGTAAGTTTGAAAACATTAGATACTAAAAAATCGCAAATATTTTCTTTAAGAGATTTATCTAAAACTTTTAAAACCTATCTATACTATCTAAACATAGGATTCATAAAAGAACGTTACAAGATTAACGCTTAAGATTAAAAATCTAATTAAAAAGTCACTAACTAAACAAAAGACCGCCCGTGACAAGAGGTGGAGTTGTGTCCGCTGTCCGGTTGTTGGTGGGTCATTATTCCTGACTGG